TATATATATATAGTTGTGAAGTAATTTTTATATTACTTTAAAAATTAATTAGTCTTAAATATGTTTTAATTTCTATAAAATAAACATATTTTAATTTGGTTGTTATTATTTTTTTCTTCTCATCATTCTAAGTAAATATTATTTTTGGTCCATGTAAAGTGAATAAATTTTAATTCTGGTCTCTACAAAATATTTTCTCTAGTTTTCATCTTTCTAAAATATAAATTCATTGTTTTGGTCTTTAATGTTCATTTTAAGATAAATAACATATATTTTAAGAATCTATAATTTTTTTTTAGAGATATGACATGTTGACATGATACGAAAGACAATTATAGTACCACCTAAGATGATCACTTAACAATAAATACATAAGTAATTAAAAATAATTACATAATAATATGAATTAAAAATATAATTTCAAAATTTTAGGGATAAAAACAATATATACACACACACACACACACACACACATATATATATATATATATATATATATGTGTGTGTGTGTGTGTGTATGTGCATGGAACGACTCAAGTAAGAATGTTTGGTAATATAAGCACATGAGAATAATTAATAACAATTCTTAGATTAAAATAAATGAGTTAAATTAAAAGATATTACTATGTATTGTCATCATCGTAATTTTCTCTATCATTATTGTTCTCGTCTCTATTATTGCAACCACCACCACTTCTAAGTCCATCACATTGTTGTCACATCACTACTATCATTATCATTGTCACAACCACCTCCACTGCATTGTTGTCACAACACCATTGTCATTGCTGCTACCACTGTCAATACTTCCCTCACTACCAACATTGTCACCCCCACTCCCACCGATGTCATCACAATTATTGTCATCATCGTTGTTGCACCATTGCCATTAACAATGGTAGTAGGGGTAATGGTAGTGGTGGCAATGTGGTAGAATTGCAGTGGAAGTGTAGGTGAAGGAGTGAACAACAACAATATAGAAAAATCTATGATGGTGACGATAAATAATAACTTTATAAATCATTTATTTTAATTAAAGGGTTGTTATTGATTATTTCTATGTTCTCATATTAGTTAGGGTTCTCACATAAATTGTTCTATATATATATATATAGACCAAAATCAAATTCTCTCACTTACAGAAACTAAAAATATATTTTAGCCATAAAGTTATTACTTATATACCTATTTTTTTATATTAATTTCTAAATATAAAATTGTGATATGATTATAGATTCTTTTTATTATTAGTTTTTTTTATGTATTATATTCACAAAAGAGAAAAATATGTTTTTATTTTCTATAGAAAATTTCAATTTTAGCTTTAGTCCTTTAAAAATTTTGTCCTATTTTGATTCTTCTACTTTGGAGATGCACCACTTTTGGTCCTCAAAGTTATTTATATAACATCTTATAATAAAAGATAATATAGAAGTAATTTGAATGAAAAATATAATACATTTTTTTAAAAATTTGTTAATACATTATGTTATTTGTTTAATATAATAAAACATATTATTTTTAATTAAATCATGCATGTAATTTTATGTGATGAATGTTTATATTTTTAAAATATTTAGGTATAAAGACTTATTCCTACAAGTCCATTAGTTTGACTGAACTCCATCTTCTCAATTAAGGTATTGAGATAGCTAATTAAATTTTCTAATAAAGGTTAGTTACCAGTAAAATCAATGTAAATTTTATACTAATAACATGATTATAAAAAAAAATCTATATTTATCGCTTTAGAATCCACAAAATGTCGAAATTGATCCAAAACCACTTAGTCCACTAATACTATTGATTTTATCTATTTTTAGTACATTCTTAATTTATTTTAAAAAGTCTAATTAACTAATTAATTCAAGTCAATAAAATAAATCATATATTATTTTGATTTTATTGTATGGAATACAAGATGTCACATGAAAGGTGTAAAATGAGAAAGTGATGGAAAATGGAGTCCCATTTTTTAGGCGACGTACTCCTGTTAGAGTGGACTCAAGAATCAGGAGTCTCATGTGTTGGGCTACCGTACGCATGAGAGTCCAGTCCAAGGGCAAGAAACACGGCCGAAACAACAACTATAACTATAACTCAACTCCATCATTTTTCATTAACGTGCATTACTTAAGTACTCCAAACGATATATTCCTTTCAAATTTCAGTTTTATTTCTTCTTCTATACCTAATATAAATCCCTCAAGTTTTTAAATGGTTGGATATACGTGGTTGTCAGCTCCAGATAATATACGCCCAGAACTAAAGACTATTATTTGGACCTATCTATCATTCGTATAAAAGACTCAAAAATAATATTTAAAAAATGACTTACCTATAATTAGTAGGTGGTATTTGTGAGACCATGCATCATGGTCATGGTAATACCAAATCCATGCTAAATCCAACGTGGAAGTAACTTCATTTTGTCAAAGGATTTGATGGAAAAAACTTCAATTTGAGTTCAAACAATTAATTACGTCCTCCATTGGTCGTAGTCCATCAAATCATTGCACCTAAATTCCTGAAAAAATTTATTTCTTTCGACACCTCTTTTATGGTTCCTAGGAACATCGGTAGATTAACGCAAAGTTGGTTTCTCAATTTTGCTAATAATTTTTTCCCCACCACCTCCAGCATATATTTTTATTTATCTGCCACATTATAATAACTATGATAGTTGTGTTTTCTATATAATTTTGCTGCCATTGAATCATATTCTTGATTTTTATTTTGATAACATGGTTGATTTTTGATGGCATTGAGGTTTACTTGCATAAATGAATCATGTTTTGACCGTTTAATAATGTTTTCATGCCACTTTCATAGCCATTAAGTGGGAAAAAAATGTAAGCCATATTGAGGGCATGTTCTTATTTTAATCGATTTGAACTATTGCAATAATATATTTATTGCTCAGTAAATTTGATTTGAAGGCAACACGTATTGATTTTTCTTATTCGTGTACTCTGGTAATATTCCTTGGAATTTTCAAGGACCAACTAGAACATGGTCGACACAAGTCATTTTCAATGGGAAGTAATTCAATGTTGTCAGCATCATCTCTACAGAAAAATCTACCAAACGTTTTCTTATGCCTAAAAAAAGAAGAAAAAAAACTGATGTGAGCAACGTTAAAATGAACAAGAACAATGCAAACTTCCACCTAAATAATCAATCAGTTTGCCTTTCATCCCTCAACTAACACTTTGATCCACTTCAATCTTGTAACCCTGCTTGGTACACCGTCAAAGCAGTAATTAAATAATTCATCCATGAGGCAGAAACCTTGCCAATAAAGTATATTTAATTTCACATCTTATATAACATTAGGAAATAGTCGAGTACCAAAGTTTCCGAGAAGAAAAGAAGGCAGAGTAAAACAAAAGGACTATACGATATGCCAAGTTGATTTATATGACTCTATATTCAATTAACCCTTTTTGTCTATATGGTTCCATCATATTATGGCGATGTCATCCTAAAACTTGATCATGATCAAATCTCTTTAGACGATATTTCACCCTTGCGGCAACAGCAACCTTTCAAGAGCCACGTTTTCATCACCACCAACAGCTTCCAAAATGCTCCTTACTTGAGCTTCTGGAAATCCCATCTCTACGAGTTTCTGTACCTGTACCAAATTAAAAAGAATTTGCAAGCGTTATAAAATTATCATATATACGTATTGTCATGATTGATTCATTAACAATGGATATAAAAATAAGGTTTAATTACTCATTTAGTTCTTATAATTGTACAAACTTTACCTTTTAGTCTTTACACTTAAATATCATCCATTCTAGAAGCTGAAAAATTGAAATTTTGTAAATTGATTGAATTGAAAGTGTTTAGTAAAATTAAATGTTAAGCTAACTGATTAATGTAAAATATAAAAAGATATTTAATTGTTTGAAGTAAAAAAAAGGTTTCAACAAGAAGGTTTTTAGGAATTTTATTAATTTCTTATCTAATTCAAATTTTATTTATCATAAATCTAATTATTTATAAATTAATTTCCCTCAAAAAAAATTATTTATAAATTAAATTTTAATATTTTATAATAAATTGATTCTTATATATTAAACACAAATATCTGTTGTACACGAGAGCATTTTTAAGGGCTTTTCTTCTATGAGAGAATTTTTAGAGATTTTTTTTAACTTTTTATCTAATTTAATTTTTATTTATCATAATTATTTATAAAATTAACTTTTAATATTTTAAAAATAAATTAATAAATAAAAATAATATCATGCTACAATATAAATTATTTATCATAAATCTAAAACATAATTTATATATTACTGTCAAAAAATATATAATATATATATGTATAAAGATATCTACTTATATAAAATTTAAATATTATTTATATATATTTTAGCATAGTATATATTTTTATATATAATTTATTATAAACTTTAATTATATATAATAAATATTTAGCTTGTGTATTGCATAGGTTAAAATACTAGTTAGGATGAAAATGAAAAAAAATAAAATTTAATAGCTTGTAAGTCAGCTTATTTTCATAAGCTATTTTAAGTAACTGAAAATATGTTACAAGCTACAAAAAGAAGCCTGCTTACCCAACAGATTTATTTTAATCAAAATAGCTTATAAGCTAGTCATAAGCTCCTCCAATATCTTGCCAAACACATTTTTAATCCCTATACAAGCACTTTCAGTTTCCTTTTGGTCCCTACCATTAAAGAAAAAAAAGTTCATGTCTTTAATAGTGAATGCTGTGACGTGACATGACGTAGCACTAATGTGTTACACTATGTTTTAATCCCTAACTTGCACTATTTTTATATTTTAGCTCCTATATTTACACAATCTTTACCTTTTAGTCCTTATACTTAAAAATTATTCATTTTAGTCTCAATAGGGGCAATATTCTGTATGTTTTAGTTCCTATCAACACTTCATTTATTCTTCCTCCTTCTCATCTCCCCTGTTTGTTTGCATCTTTCTTCTTTCTCCTTTCTTTTGCCACGCATTGGCACAAAAAGTTGCCACAGGTAGCAATGCATTATAGAAGCATTTTTTGTTTTTAAATTTTTGGTGTTTAGAGAACCTAGAGATAACAGTTACATGGAAATCTACGACAAAGGTTAAACCAAAAAAAAATGCTCATAAAGCAGTGGCATGAATATCCAAACATTTGACGTAGTAAGATTAAAATGATTAATACAATGCAACAAGGGTTTGATGCATCATATACGCAAGCATCTTATGTAGCAAGATTAAATCAATGCAAAAAAAGAAATTGCCGGTGTAAGTAGTGTTAACACAAATTGCTTTTCATAGACTGTATTGTCTTATCTACTTACGTCTAAGCTATGTCTTACCCTATCAAGACTTTCTGATTTAATAAGAATTAGTTTATGGAAGAGAATTTAAAAGAAACAATTCCCAAAATACAAGGAGGAAAAAGAAAGGCAAAATATGTTAATAGGGATTAAAGTATATATAAAAAAAGGTACTCGTATACAGACTAAACTGAGTAGTTTCTATGTGTAGGGTCTAAAAAGGTTAAGATTATGTAAGAATAGGGACAAAATGTGAAGATAGTGAAAGTATAAGAACTACACAGTAAAGCACAACACGTTAGTGTCACGTTAGCAACACATAAGTACCATCTCATCTACCGTTAATGGCATTAACTTTGTTTTAATGGCAGTGACTAAAAAGAAACTAAAAGTACTTGTATAGACTATAGAGACTAAAACAAATGATTTTTAAGTGTAGCGACTAAAAAAAGTAAAGTTGGTGCAACTAAAAGGATCAAATGAGTAATTAAATCTTAAAATAATGGCACAAGTAGCTTAAATTTCACAATTTTGCACTTACCAAATCAAAAGTAGGTATATATTCTTAAACATAAATGGGCATCAATGCAAGTTATTCTTCAAATTCAAAACACAATTTTGGTATAAAATCATAACATGAATAAATCAACAGTTAAGAATGATTATAAAAAAAACTTTTTTTTTTCTTATAAAATTATCATAAAAGCGTCTAACTAACATAATGATATTTAACTAGATCACCATATCATCGTTAAAATTCTTTAGTAAATTAAGTGTTTAACAACAAAATACATAAAATAGATGCCTGAGTAAAATAATAGACTAAACAGTCAATTTATCGAAAACAAATTCATTGTAGTAATAAAAAATGTTCTGTGTGAATATTAAGACAATGTCACATATTGGTCGCCCAATTTAAATACGCTCAATAATGTGCATCCATATTGTAATTAAAAAAAAGGGCAACAAGCTTAGTACCTTATCTTCAATCCCACGAGACGATTCCTTAGCAAAACTCTCTGTCCAGTAGCGAGCAGTGTTAACAAATGTCTGATAGTCTTTCAGATACTGCATTATCCATAGAAACTGGATTATAATGACAGAAGGACTTGAGGAAAAAGGAAAAAAAGCAATATTAACAGAAATTGATCTAGTAAAACCTTGACAAGTATCTGAGAAAAAATATAGTGTTCTTTGCCAGTTTCACACACAAAGGATATGAGAGGAAACATATCACAAGAGTAGAGACTAGAGACTAGAGACACAACTACACAATAGAATGAGTCATACCTGCTGTGCCACCACAGCATCTTGAGGATCATCAGGCTGAGGAGCAGAGAGAAGTGCTTGCACAGAAAGAAGTGCAGTCTTCAGTGTGAGTGCTGGGCTCCACTGGTCCTTCAAGATGTCCAGGCAAATAGCTCCACTCTGGCTGCTGATATTAGGGTGCCTTCAATGTTTAACATACACAATAAAATTCATGCATTAATCAACCAACAGACTATTTTTCCATAGTAATGTTTTAAATGCCACATTTGCAATGCATAAGATATTTCTCATTTTATAGAGGATGAGATAGAAAATAAACTCAAACATCAAAAGCTTCTTCAGAAGCCAGAACTCCTGACACAGCAATTGAAACCCCAAGTTTGCCACAGAACTTGTGACAAACTCAATATTCTCTAAATTTGAGAGAACTCCACCTATGCTATCATAGCTGGTGCAAAGCCTCGGTAAAGGAGGAGGGTTGTATTAGATCCTCGACAGCCAATGTAAAACTCAACAATGTACCTAACATGGATCATTCAAACCAGAAACTTAGCTGAATGACATTGTGTGACCTATTTTGGCAATCTGACCAAGTGGGATAAGACTTTTGTTGAAATAATCATTGAGAGACAGTGAAAGGAGGAGGATAGTAACACAAGATGAAATCCAGAACTCATATCAACCAGTGTTGTTAAATAGCTGCTATAGTGGCACTATAATGCTATTGCATTGTGGAATTCCTTGAATCTCTATTGTGGCCACTATGGTGTCATGTTTGCAGCATGTATCCTACATCCTCTAGTCATCTCTGCTGAGTTTCCAACTATTTGAACTCTTGAGTTAATATTATGTCAATTTTACATATATAATTGATACATATCATATTTTAACTGCTATGCAACTTTAGCTATTTGATATTAGCAGGATTATTGGCTTTCCGCCATGCTAGTTGGATCGGGATCCAAATTGTGAATTGGAAGGTCTATTTTTCAAATCGCAAATCATACTGTATCGTGAATCGTATGCTTCATGATCAATAATAAAACATAATATATACAGCAAATAAAGACAAAAGAAAAAATTCATGATCAATAACTTAAAACACAAGTCTAGAGGCAGTTTAACATAAAGAAACATACCAAAAATCAAAACACACATATATATTAGCTTTTTAAAGTCAAATAGCTAAGAAAGTGACCTAAACCTTCAAAACATACAAAGATCCAAATATAAGAGCCACAATGCCAAAAAGACGGTGGTTGCAGCTAAACAAGCTGCACACAGCAAAAATATACATAACAGGGCAGAAGATCACCAAGCAGCAGCAGAAAAACACACTCAGACACCAAAAGGAGAGGGACCACCATGCTTGCACTTGTAATGACAGAATGAGCAAAGACAGCACAATAAATTACAAAGAAAAGAAGAGAAGAGAGGGTCACTCTATTGTTGGGAAGAACAAAGAACAGGTGAAGAAATGAAAGGAGCCAACAAAAATGAGTGAAAATGTGAAAAGAGAGAGAGTGGGACACCCTAGGTCAGATTGGAGCGGAAAAATTGGCTTTTCCCCTCTCATTTTACCTAATTTTGTTATAAAAATATAAGAAGCAACTTTTAGGGTTTTTTCAGAACTGGGAAGCACATGACGTAAATCACACGATCAATGAGTGGGATTCGATTCATGTGCGATTTGAATGACTATCATCTGTGAGTCAATCACAAAAACGATTTGACGCACGATTTATATCATCAGAGCCATGAATCGTATCTTTTCGCATGTATCATATCATGAATCCTGCGGCACTGATAACAATACTTTCCGCCATTTTCCACAATCCACAATTGATAACACTGATATAAACAGATTTCAAGACAAAAAAAGTGCCACGCTACCATACTCTAGCTATTAAGAGGATTACCGTTTAATGTAGCTACCAAGTCCACAATTCCTGATAAGGAATAGAATACGGAAGATATAATATAGGGAAGAGGGTGATCCCTCTACTTCTTAATTCCTTCCAAGATATATAGAATAAGCGGTAGAGTTAAGAACAAGGATTTACTCAATATAAGGCCCCATTTACTTATGTTTTCATCTCCTGCTTTTATTTTGTATTGTTACTTAATAATTACAAAACCGTCAATTTTTTTCAATTTGCTTCCAGTTTTTGAATATTTGTACAAGAAACAAATAAAACAAAAAAAATAGTTATTTTCGGTGTTTCCTGTACATATCTTTGAAAACAAGAAACAAATTGAAAACAATGAGGCGTTTTTGTAATCAAAAAGTGAAAACAGAAAATGAAAACACAACTAAACATGCCCTAGGCTTCTCTAGTAGGTTAAGAAGAACCTGACATGGCGTCAATAACGAAACCGAAACAGATGGAACCCTAGCACAAGACCTTGGGACAATATTCTATATAATCCATGTATATAAAACAACATGTAGGTTTAGGGAAAACTCGCCTTCCACTCCAAACCCCTACTACATCCTTGTATTACATTATAAGTCACCAATTTCCAAAATAACAAAAGTGTAAGGTGTTTCCACTTTCCGCACCAAACAAAAACCCACACTACCACACTTTCTCCCCTTTTCCATATCCAAAGAGAGTTGCACATAAATAAAATAAATAACGATTTCACAATATCAGCTTCCTTAAGGACTCCACGGCCAATACTCACATCAAATTTAAGCGGCAAAAAAAAAAAAAAAAAAATTCAACACACACATGTTGAGAGAACAGTAAACAACAATTCCCATTCGTACCAGACTTTGGTTTTAAACTGCATCTTGGGGGGTTCAAACGGGTATCCATCTGCAACGGAAATTGACGATTGAAAAAACGCACAAGCGAAACAAAAGTCGAATTGAGAGAAACAAAGAACCCTAGTCAGTGCGATGTGAAAAGGAGAATCGAGGAAGACATTAGAGTACCGGGTAATGTGATGTCAATCTGGAAAATGCCCCCTTCATAGGGCGTTCCGAGAGGACCAGGAATGGTGCCGATCAAGAGGACGAGGTTGTCGCTTTTGGGACTCACTTTGATGCCCGATCCCTCCGCGTCCTTGCTGCATTCCACGAGCTCCTTCTGCACGCGAGCAAAGTCTACCATCTTCAACCTTTCACCTACGCAAAAACCCTAGACGGTGAGTCACAGACGGGGAGAACGCAAAACCTCCTCTTATGTGAACGAGCAGAAGAAGAAGAAGAATAAGGTGTTGCTTTCCTCGCTCACTCACCTCGGTGCTGTACAGAAGAAGCCAGAATAAAGCTTGGGTCGCTTTTTCGCGAGTGAGTTAGTGACTGATGTTGGTTTCGTTTCTTTCTCCCATTTTTTTTCTTCTTCTTTTTTTATTTTCTTTTTTTATTTTTCCTGTTATGGAAACAACCTTTTAATTTCTCTCTGCCGTGCCGGACCGTTGCGGTCTCGGATAGATTCTTTCAATCTCGCTTTTGTGTTACATTTATTTATACTATGATAATATCTTTCATGCCACGCCACTTCTCAAATTGGTAACCATCCAAACTCTTTTGATTTTATAGCATGTAAATGAACAAAAACTTAATTACAAGTTATAATATTAATTATATATATATATATATATATAAATGTACCTAAGTTTTATGCTGCCTTATTTTCATACAATTTTTCTATTTATATTAAATAGATTGAATAGAAAAAAAAAAACATTCTAGATTTAAATATTCAAATCATTCATAAATTAATAGTTAATGTTGTGATTTATCTCGAGATTTTTATCGTATGTGATAGAAGGTGTAAGTATTTTTTGAAAAAATATATTTTTGTACTTTATTTTTTAAAAAACAATATTTTAGTGTTTTATTTAAATAATTTATATAAGTCCTTTTAACTTTTAGATTTAACTTGTATTTTCTTAATTGTTCGATTTCTTTCTAAAATTGTCGATATCTGTACAATCATATCGGCAACACCTACATAACTAGATGCCAACAAAAAGACAAGAGATTGCAAAAACCACATTTCAAAGGGCGAAGGCAATAGAAGGATGTAGCGGTGGTGATCACAACGGTGCAATGTTGTAGAGGCTTGAGTGAGGACGAAAGCAACGAGGGGAAAGAGATGGGAAAATGAAAAGGGGAAGGAAGAGGGTAGAAAGGGTAGCTGAATGTTGTGTTTGTGCTAATAGAGTTGTATTTACATAATCAGCTTAATTACTTATGCTATGTTAACTTTTTTTGTTTTGTTTACGTGATTATCCTTGTGCATTCCTTATATTGAACTACAATGATGATATTATTATTGAAACATGACAGAGTTAGGTTAGAGGGCAAGTAGAATTTTAGGTGGCATGTTAAAGATGGTGATGATTTTGTTTAGTGTTGTTTTGATGCAATAATTGTGTAGATGCTATAGTCTTTATATTTTCAGTACTTTATTCTAGATGTATATTTATGTATATGTATAAGATTTTATTATAACTTTTATGTTTGATAGTCAAAACTCACAAAACTTGCTTTACTTTCTACACTTTATACATATATGTTGCATGGATGTTTAGGTATTATTGCATAATAATCTTAGTGTGTAGTTGAATTCTTTATGTTTTTCACTACTTAACTACTAAATTATAAGTGTAGTAACTTGTCGAGTTGTTATAATTATTATTGTCTAATCATTTTTAACTACTTATTTATTAAGGGTTTCATTGCAAATCCAAATAATGAAAGGATATTGAGTGTAATCTCTATAAAATACAAGAGATGCAAGTATAACAGTTTTTCAACTTTTACGGTTTCACTATAGGTCCAAATAATAGAAAGGTATTAAGTACAATATCTAAAAAGCATATAGAATACGAATGTAACATTTCTTAAATTTTTAAGGAATTTTACTATAAATACAAAATAGAAGAATATTGAGTACAATCTAAAAAAAAAATTTGTGAGTGTAATTTACTCTATTATTAGATATATAACTTTAATTGTGTGTGGAACATGTGCAAATAGTAGGGTTGATCAAAATTTTTTGAGTCGCCCAAACTTGTGAAATTGGAAGGTACAAAATGAAGAATTGGACACAAACACTTCGAGTTATGTGTTCTGACAGTTTAAAAAAAGTATTAAATGCAGTTAAATGCAATCAATTTTGGGTTGGAAAAAATGAAACCGTCGATATTCGAAATTTGTTTCATTTTATTGCACTTAATCTCTTCTTCTGAGTTTTGTTTCTCCCCCTCTCTCAACAGTTCCACCACTTCCCTTCACTGCTTGTCTTCATCTTGTTCACACCTTCATTTTTGTTGTCATAAAGCTCAGCAAGCCTGTAGTTGGATAGGTCTTCTATGTCTCAGAGCTTCTACGAAGGAGCAGAGGAGCATCGCTCTATCAATCCCCTTTGATCTGCTTTACCCTCCGCTGTTCCATTTAGTCCCTCTGCTACTCCACTTCATTCCTCCTATGTGTCTTTCATTTCATTCTCGAAAAGTTGATCAATCCAAAAATACCCATTTGTTAAACTTGATTAATCTGAGAATCACCACCTGACTTTTTCGATACAATAATTGATCAGCTATGGATTGAAAAAGATGTAAGGGTTTCATTAGTTTTGGAAATTTGAACTTGAACTCATCCAAAATCGACCGTTGCTCAAGTCTAACAGTTAGGACGAATAAATCAAGTTTCAAATATATTTTTAACATTTGGTGTCATAATTAGATTGGTTTAATTTTTGGTTGAACCAAACTGGACTACTAGTACAACCATCCAAGTTTTATATGAACTTTTTATAAAGCATGATAAGTAACACCATTATCTTCACAATTCATTATTTTAATAACCAATATAAAGGGAAGCATTGTGTTTGATTGTTTTTTTTATTAGTTTTTAATAACTATTTAATAAAACAAATTTCAAAAATTAATTTTTAGAAAATAGAAATAAATAAAGAAGAAAAAATAACATTTTTTTAACCATATTAATACGAAGTATTTATTGTTAAAAGCAAGTAGTGACTAATCTCTGTCAAGGATCGTAAATGGACACAAGGTAAATACTTCTCCTCCAATACATTTTATTTCCATATTCAATGTCAGGATTCAAACCTCGAATATCTTGATTAAAGAACACAAGCTGTTACTACTTATGTCAACCAAATATTGATAGAAGACAAAACAACATGAGAAAGAATGTGAATAACAAAAATTGAAAGTAAAATATTTTAAAAATATTTCCAATTTTTATATATTTTAAGATTAAATATGTTTTTAATATTTACAAAATGAAAGAATTTTGATTTTAATTCCTATTTTATTATTTTTTTTTTGTTTTTCATCCTCTTAAAAATTAAAATCATTGTTTCTGACTTATCTTTATAATATAAGCAAATTTTGGTTTGATTATAATAAAATAGTGTATTTTTTATTTTTCATTTTTTAAAATTTAAAATTACTATAATTTCAATTCTTAATTTTTATTTTAAGATAAATATTTTTTTAAAATTAAATAAATTAAAAGTGGCACATACCAATATAACATCACAAATAATTACGAGTGTCATTATGAATGACCAATTAATCTTTTTATAGCTAGCACTAGCAGTGAGAGAGTCTAAGTTCGATTTTCATGGCGATTTTGTAATTTTCATCACTCAATGTAAAGAAAAAAAAAAAAAAAAAGATAAAATTTATTGAATTTACTTACATTTCTCACTAATAAAATATATTTTCTCTTATATTTTGGGAATAATTAGTTACATAAATATATAATCGAAAGAAAGAGAGATTCAAAGAGAATGTTTTACAATTTACAATGATCAACTACTGACTGATATATGACGATTTAGAAGAAATTGAACAAGTTCCTACGGAAGCCCAAACAAATAATAATAATTTGTCTTCATTCTTTCTGGCATCTCAATGCTCTGTAAGAATATTTCTTCTTTCATTGGAAGAGCAATCCATTGGGTGCCTTCGGTTACGCAGATGCCTAACGTGGAATATATTATTCTTCATTGCCCCGAATTTCTGTTTCTTATTTCCTTTTCTCTTCGGAGCTGATTTCATTTCAACAAGCTGAAGCATCTGTTAATCAGAGAGACAGTGAGATAAGAATGTTACAATTACTTTACTACACACATCTTTAGGTAACTCGTTCTTCCTTTATATTTTTTGTGTCTTGTAAACGTTGTGAGAGCTATAGAGTGAAAAAACGAGAGAGAAAAAAAGGGTGATAAATGAAATCCCAAAACACTGAAAACAGCTTTTATACACACATATCTATACCTCGTTGGTGTCAGCTGATGCAGAGCTTTCGACACTGTTAGCACTAGGTGATTTCTGGAACACACACGTTTGATTTTCATGATCACCTGCATTTTTCAATGCCAAACACCGTTTAATTTTCCAGCCAAAAAAGTAAGATTCACTTCCCAAGCTATGAACACACATGATTAATCCTTCATAATTCTGCCAAAAAATCTCATGACATCTCAACATAATTAACTCAAATGGTAATGGTTAAGAAGAAGGAAAGACATGTAAAATAGTACCTAGAGCATTTGAGCGACATAATTCTGCCTCTCTTTTACTATTCTCAGGTTGAATGCAATAAATTTTGAAGCTAGGCGAGGCAGGACCTATAAATCTTCCACTTTCAATTTCATCATCCTCCTCGTTTTCTTCTTCTTCTTCTTCTTCCTCTTCATCACTGTCAACAACCTCATCCTTCTTTTCAACGGGCAAGGGAACCACTTTGGAGAGGCTATCTCCACGTTTGGCAATTGTAGAACTCTCACTTTCATCATCAAAATTGAGAATATGCTTCTTTGAGAATGTAGCCTCTTCTTCTTGTTCTCTTCCCATAGTGGCTCCGCTCCTCCGTCTTCTCAACTCTTCCACTCGGCGGCGGAGTAGAGGCCGGATTTTAGCCGGCAACACCTCTCCCCCACTTCCTGGCAGCCTTGAATTGTTGGCACCCATCTTGGAGAGAGATGTTTGAATACAAGTTAAAAATATTTTTAAAATTTTTTTTCAACTTGTATTCAAACAAACTCAAACTCAGAAACTCACAGAAGAATGAGTTCGATGAAAGTTGAAATGAGAGGTGAAGGATTATGAAGGGGTTGCGTGCACGTGGCAGTTGGAATAACTACAAAACACAACGTGTTCACGGTTGTTAATTGCATGTTATTTGCTCAAATATAGCAACCAAAAACTTTATTCACTGTAATGTGTGTTGTTGTGTCCTGTATTGGAACGGGACTTTATGTTGTTATGTGTGTGTCCACTTAGGATAAGGCTCGAACAGAACCCGAACTAATCAACATTGCCTCAAACTGGGTTCTGTCGCTTATCTGTCTTTTTTCTCAAATTAAGGCTTCCTCATCCTTTTGCACTGCACAACTCCACCCTTTTATGTTTGTTGGGTCCGATAGTCCACTTGTTGCCGATAGTCCACTTGTTGGACCACCATAGTATGATATTGTCCGCTTTGGACTAGGCCCGCACGGTTTTATTTTTGGGCTCCTTTCCAAAAGGCCTCATCACTGAGGGTCTTCCTGCATCAAATCCCCGATAGTCCACTTGTTGGACCACCATAGTATGATATTGTCCGCTTTGGACTAGGCCCGCACAGTTTTGTTTTTGGACTCCTTCCTAAAAGACCTTATTTTATATGGAATGGTGGACACCCTTATAAACTAGCCAATGTTCTTTCATTTTACAGATGTGGGACTTGGGATGAATCCCAACAATGTTATTTATAGTCAACACAAAGAGATAGTTGCTTTTTAACTGACATCTTAAATAAAAAATCATAAATTTTTAATTCAAGATTAAAGTCGTTAATTTTTGCTCGTTTCCTAAAATATTCTCGTAAACAAACTTTGAAAAACTAAATAATTAATATTTTTATTTATGCAGATCACATTGTATATCTTTTATTAGAGATTAGTTAATCCACGCCGTGTGTGGTCACAAGTAATGCATGTATATGGTTCTCAAACTTTATTAATTAATGCACATAATGGAAAAATAGCTAATGACGTCTCAAAATATTACATTGGTTGTGCTGTAATCAATGTAATATATGACGAGCTAACAATTTTATAAATATTACCGATTTTTCTAAATTGATTGTTACTTATCGGATGTAAAATACATTACATCCTATGTTAGTATTGCTGAATCAATGTAAAACCCATATCCACTTTTCTTCTGCTATCTCTTGCCACAACTTTCTTCTTCTTTCTCGACCTTAATTTATCCTTTCTCAAGAAGAATAATTTGTTATCCCTACACACAATTTATTATATAATGACGATTTTAAATTTATTATTGTGAAAATCAACACCATATTGTTGATATTTATCATATGATATTTGCAAAAATATCATATGATAATTTATGAATGGTTCACAATGCAAATATTGTTTGTATGTTCACGTATGTCACTGTCTCTTTATCATTTTTTTCAATTATTGTATCATAGTGTGAATTATCGGAATATTTTAATTAATTATTTTTATATTATTACGATCAAATTAATTATTACTAGAGTAGCTTTTGATTATATATATATATAT